CCCCCTGTTTCCCTCTTGATCCTCCCTCCGCCTTGCGTTTCTCCTCTCGGTTCTCCTGCTTCTGATCCTTCAGCCGATGCCTCTGCTTCCTCTGCCATCACATCGGATATAAGTCCCCCTCCTTCTCTTCCCAGCTGACAACCTTGTGGTCGCTCATGTTGGCTGACATCGGTCATCAGCTGCGGCTTGCAGGGCACGTGGACTGGATGCGCCGGCACGGAATGCAACTCGCCGAGCAGTTCTCCATCATCTGGAACCCAGACAACCCCATCAAGTTCGAGGAGGACGAGGCATCGTCCCTGCCGCATGCTCAGGATGCTTCCGAGCCACACCAGGACGAAAGAAAGGGGAGGAATGGGAGTATTTCTCAGGGGCAGCCGAATGACGGGGAGGTTACAGTGGAGGAGGACAAGGAGAAGAAGAAGAAGACGAGACCGAAGAGGAGACGGCAGCAGACAAGTGGCCGCAGGAAGTGGCAGGCATGTCAGGACCCGGATCGGATCATCTTGTCGAGCGCTAGCGAGAGCGAGAGCGAGGAGGAGGGAGGCAGTGACTCGTGCACGGACGAGGAGGAGGCTGGAGGACCAGCAGCACGTGCAAGTCACCTCATCGACGACGGCGACAGCGACAGCGACGATGGTCTCGTTCCCTACCAGGTGGAGGAGAGCGAGCTTGAGAACTGCTTCGCCCGGCAGGCAGCAGTGGAGGAGAGAGACGTCGAGTCAGACCTGGTGCCCTTGCGGTATGGGGAAGGAAGAGTCTCCCTGCCTACGAACCTGCGGCAGTGCTTGCGAGGGCTGACCAGTCAGAACCCAGACGAGGTTTGTAAGAAGTAGGATAGGGGAGGAAGATGGGCAAGGAGCAGGAGCAGGAGCAGGAGCAAGAGCAGGAGCAGGAGGAAAGGGGGGGGGGAGAAGGAGCCTTTCTGACATTGACCCTGCAGATTGAAGCTGCCATGTTCGCTCTGCCAGAGCTTGTTGAGTCCTCGCACATGTTGGAAGGAGAAGACTACGCAGAGATCGCAAGTAATGTTCCCCTCCTCCCAGCTGTTCCCCTTCATCATTCCAGCTCCCTCCCTCAGCTGCACTGACATGTGATTCGACAGGAGCTCTGCTCAGGCTGCAGGACAGCTTCGTGATGCATGACTTTGCAGGGAGGAAACGCCGCGGACTCCTCGCGCTCTCAGTTGCTGACCCAGCCCACGTGGCTCAAGTTTTCATCAAGGTGGGCAGGAGGAGGAGGAGGAGGAGGAGGAGAGGGAGAAGGAGGAGAAGGAGAAGGAGGAGAGGGAGGACGAGGAGCTGGTCGGCTCCTGACTAGGGTCTCTCAGTGTGTGTGGAGCTCCAACGATTCTGTCGCCACTCGCGTTGACGCCATCGACGTGCTGGTGGACGCAGCGTTTCAACTCTCGTCCTTGCACAAGATGCCCGAGCCCCCGCAGATGGAGGAGGAGGGCGACACGCTGCCGAGCCTCGGCAAGACTCGTCGGTGGAGCAACAAGTCAAAGATCAAACGCCCGAGGCCGCAGGAGAATCAGTTCGGCAAGCACGCCAAGGCTTTCTTCTTCGGCATGCTGTCGGGTTGGAACGAGCAGACCTCTCAGCGTCTCCTCCACGTCGACATGTACATCCTCGGGCGGATGATCTCCAGCCTCGGCGTCTTCATCGAGTGCTGCGGCAACTCACCCGCTACCCCGATGCTCGCGTCGGGTCTCCTGGACCTGACCAGTCACCCCAGCTTGCGGCAGCATCGCGAGGTAGGATCTGAGAGCTCCTTGACCCTCCTGGGAGCTGAGAAACCTGCAGGCCTACATCCGCCGCTGCGTCTTCTTCGCTCTCGCGCGCATGCTCATGACGATACCCGACGAGCTCTTCACGCATCTGTTTGCAGACCGCTCGCTCGCCATCCAGTCCTGGTACGAGGAGGCCCTGAGGGAGGAGACGGACCTTGAGACGGTTCGACTTGTCCGGGGCGGTCACGCACTGCTGTCGCAGAAGCTCGCAAGCTCACTGCCCAAGATCACCGTACTCGATGGTTGAGGGTGAGATGCCGTGTAATTTAGTAAAGTTTCATTCAAAAAATAAAAGACATGTCGGAACAAAACTGATTACTCATTACACAGGATCAAGCTTGTTCGCCAATGATCCTGTGCTGCTGCTACAGAGAGAGTCGCTGTCTTTGTCCTCGCTGCTTCCAGCTGGATAGTACAAGAATTTCAAACGGATCTTTGAGTTCTCCCCTTTGCTGTTTCTCACTGTCTCCATCGTGTCAGGGAAGTAGATGTCATGCTCTCCGTCTAGCTCAGTCGTTCCGAGCTTCCCTCTGCTTATTTGTACAATCGCATTCCCCATGTGGTCGTCTTCGTCAAACCGATCCCAGTCCCACACCTGCACGCGACATTCCCCGCTGTCGAAGTTGGCAGGTATCTCGACCCGGAAGCTTTGTCGGAACACTGGGTCCAGAGAGTTCTTCACTACCTTGCTTCGAAACTTGTAGTCGCCGAACATGATCACGCAGTAGGCGTCGCAGGAACCTAGTCCTGTGTCCATCTTAGGCAGCTTAAAAGCTCTGCGGACAAATGTCAGCAAGGCTGTGAAAGCAAAGGGCAGACAAGCTTTGACCTGTCAAGAACGATTTCCATGTAGTTGACACCAGTGAAGAACATTTTCAGCCTGACTCTAATAGTGCTGATAACTCCCGCCTGAACTCCAACGACTTCAACTCCATCATCGCCAACCAGATGGAATGATTCTTCTTTTACATGCAGCCCAATCACGCTGCTGTCACTAGAAAAGTTTTGCTGTGCTCGCTCGCCGTCTTTCTTAAATGCAACTTCGTCATAGGCGTGAGCCGCAGCCTCTGGGGTCTGAAAGAAAGATGTTTCCACCCCATTGCTATCAAGACATGAACAACTCTGGTAGACTGTGCCTGTGCTTGCGCCGACAGAACGATAGAAGGCGCGATAGAGGCCATCCAGCCCTCTGGTAACTCCTCGCCAATTCACAACCCAGCCGATGGGAATGTTGACAGTGCCGATGACATAGTCGTCGCGATGTCGCTTCACAGATGATGGGGTATGCGCGACTTTCACCACCAGCACGTTCCACATGTTGTAGACGTTGAAGGAGCAGCTGAAATTCCAGCAGGGGTTGTAGTCCTTCCTGCTGATCTCTGAAGGGTGCTGCTCTTTGTTCAGCGAGCACATGCAATACGCGTGCGGCATCCCAGGTATCTCATCATCTTTCCCCGTGCTCCACATGACTGGCGGGAGGTTCTTGGCTCTGAAAACTTCCACGACAATCCGCGCGGCTGGTCCATCCTCCATCTTGGGCAGCCCCAGGGATGATACAGAAGCCGTTCGAAATGTCGCGTCTATTTCCCGCATCATCCTCCTCTCGCCGATGATCTTTGTTCCTGTCTCCTTGACATCGTCCGTGCCGTTTTCCCCATTCGCCGAGTTGGAATGATTACCATTCTCTTCTCCATTCTCACTGGCATTGATCGAATTTTGTGTTTCTGTCGTGAAGATCAATACTGAGCAGCTCCGAAAACATCTCCTCTTACCTGGTTGTTTCGAAGTTGTCTCATCGAGAAGATCAACTTCAATAGCCTATGAAACGCATGACAGTCAATGTCACACACTCTCTCAAAAATTACTTCGACCGATTTCAGATTTCGTTCGCAGAATTTGTTCAAATCGATGATAGCCGCTTCTACATAATCTGACGATTCTCCGGTGTAGTTCCATCGCAGATCCATATCCGTGAGCGTCATATTGTCTTGCATTGAATCCGCTAACATGCATATTCCTGGCCCTCTTATGTTGTTTCCCCGAAGATCAAGCTGCATTGTAAAATCGAGTCAAGGCCATCCTTACATTCAAATCAGACGATTGAAACTTACAACGAGCAAAGTCTTGTTGACTCTCAGAGTCTCTGATAGACTCGTTGCACCCGAGGCTCCAATCCTGTTGTCTTTCATTCGTAGCTCTTGAACGGAACAGTTGAGTCGCAACCCAAGCGACAAGACTCTGCAGTGATTGTCAGCGGTCAGCCGACAAGAAGGTCACATCCATCACCTTGCTTCAGCTGCTGTCAGATTGTTCTGTGATACATCAAGAAATAACAGGCTTTGAATGTAGCTCAACATTTGAGAGATAATGAAATATCCTCCAATTGAAATTTCTGGGTTACACGACAGTCGAATTCCATGTACATGATTTCCTCGCGCTGTTGACAGATTCAGTGACTTTCACGAGTCTAGTACAGCGAATACTTATTGAAAGAGTCTTCAACCATGTTGTGTCATCAAATTTTTTGTTTATGTTTGAGTCTGACATCTTGTAGTTGGGATCTTCCAGTGACAACAGTTCATCACACATTCGCCGAACTTTGATGTTGTCCATCGTGTGCGACTTGAACTTCGCAAATATCATCGAGCGGTGGGCAGACAAGCAAACATTCACCTGTCTTATCTCAAGCCTTGGTTTGACGACGTTCTCGAGGGCCCTTGGAAGCTTCAAGAGTGCTGGATGGTTTCCAGCAACCAGTGTGAAGTTAACAAGAGACCTAGCATTTTCTTTCAGGAGTGGAACAAAAATCGAGTCATTTGCACGACTGCGATTTTCCATCGCTCTGCATGAACAGGATCAGATTGTGCCATCGCGACAGACGCCATTGACCTTTGGTACCACTCATCTTCATCGTCGTCGTCCTTCCTACTGAATATGCTCATTCTCTTCTTCAAATTTTGAGTGATCATCTTTTTGACGGGCGTGCTTCTTCTGCGCTTGAGCTGTGCAAGTAGTCATGAGTTGTCTTCGCAAAGAACTTGTCCTCACATCGAGATCACTGCTGGAGGCGCTGTCTTCTCCATTCTTTCTGCTGAAAGATTGTTCGGTTCTCCAGCCCTCCTGATACGAGAATGTTTTAGTTTCACAAGTGCACATGGACTGACAAGCTTTACATCATCCTCAGATAGGACAGGTCGTGATACTCCACACCCCATGGTGCCCTCTGCGACCTCGCCCGCAACAGCGCGCTCCTGTGACCAGCGTTCGCTACGTGACTTTGCTGTCTATTGGGCTGAAACTGCAGCGCGAGCTGAGATCAGAGAGGGAGAGGAGCACATCGCTGAAGCATCTTCCTCGTCTCCCCCGGGCTCCATCGCAACCAGTTTCCGCGCATCAGCCCAGGCATCCGGTCGCTCAACTCCCGAACCAACCCCCTGTGCATTGCCAACTGCTAACCGACCCCACCCCCTTCAACCGACCCAACACCCTACCCCGCACATTTACCGCCCATGTACCTACCCTGGTTCTGTACAACACCCGATTGGACTACCCCTGTAGCAACGATACCCATGCTGTGATCTACCCTACCCCGTGAAATCCCATCCCTTACCCTCCCACAGAAGCACCCCATGGACCACCCCACCCACCTCGCTTTCGAATGTTTGGTTCAGATCTGACCCCTTCTTCCAGTCCACCCCAGGGCTCGAATCAATTAATAATTCATTATACCCCACCCCTCCATTCCAAGACTACCCCACCCCCCACTTCAGCCTCTGATCTTTCGTCAATCTCCGTTCCCCAAAAAGTTTACCTCCCTGCCTTTGACTACCCCACCCTGTTTCCACTACCCCACCCCTGCGTCTCGCCATGAGATCATTATTTGGCGCCCCTTCCTATGTTGAGAGCTTCGCTTTCGCCGAGAAATAGCACCGGTACTTCTACTGAGGGAATCCGGGGTCAATAACTCCAGGGGTGGTAAAGTCGTGGAAGTGAGGGGGTGATCGTAGGGACCGGATGGGGGTGGGGTAGTGGGTCATTGGAGGAGGCGGTTGATAGGTCCGGCAGAAACAAAAACTATTTGTACACAAAAACTATTTTTAGTATGGACCCCACCCCCTCAGTTCTGGCGGACTTTTCGCTCAAATTTCCTCCCCCTACCTCATGCTCCTAAGAGTTCTCATGTTGAAACGGTGGGTGGGTTGATAACCCTACCCCCCGAAGGATAAAATCTTTTCACTCAAGAATGATCAGGGTGGGCTCTAACCACAAGGGGAGGGAGAGTGGCAGGAAAGAGAGCGAGCGATGGCAGGATAGACTAGAGGGAGAGAGAGAGAGCGATGGCAGGATAGCCTAGAGGGAGGGAGGGAGAGAGAGCGATGGCAGGATAGACTAGAGGGAGAGAGAGAGAGAGCGATGGCAGGATAGACTAGAGGGAGGGAGAGAGAGCGATGGCAGGATAGACTAGAGGGAGAGAGAGAGCGATGGCAGGATAGACTAGAGGGAGAGAGAGAGAGCGATGGCAGGATAGACTAGAGGGACGAGAGAGAGAGCGATGGCAGGATAGACTAAGACGGAGGGAGGGAGGGAGAGCGATGGCAGGATAGACTAGAGGGAGAGCGAGAGAGAGAGAGCGATGGCAGGATAGCCTAGAGGGAGGGAGGGAGAGAGAGCGATGGCAGGATAGACTAGAGGGAGGGAGAGAGAGCGATGGCAGGATAGACTAGAGGGAGAGAGAGAGCGATGGCAGGATAGACTAGAGGGAGAGAGAGAGAGCGATGGAGGCTGAAGGTTCCTTGCTCCTCTGACTCCCAACGGAATCGCTTAAGACTCGAGTTTGGCAGACACCGAATTGGCTTGCAGTTACGAAAGTGTATTTACAGGATGAGGGAGCAGATTTGTAGAGATACCTAGCAAATATTGCTGTCACTTTCTGTAGCCCTTTTCCACCTGGCTACCTCGAACTATATCGCAATATGCCTCTGCAAGCAGATGTTAGTGCAGGGCTGATCATTTTCAAGATGTCAAATCTGAATGTCAGCTGATCTCTGAATGTCTGATCTACTTTGCCAAGGATGCCGAAGTCTTCAGGTTCAAGTCGGAAGCTCAGTCAGAGGAGCATGTCCTCAGACGTTGGAGCGATGACGCTCATGGAGAAACGCCTCTTGGAGAAGCAGACAAGGTCGAAACTAGTCCCTGAGGCTTCCCCTGACATGCTCTCGGGACAGCAAGTTCTTGCTAGACAGCGATATTCGAAACATCTTCCAGCAGTTCGACAGGTGCCGGCCCATCGTTATGAGCTCCGATGGTGACGTCGGCGTGCGGCAGAGACGGCAACGGATACCTCGGGGCAGCAGACCTTGCGAAAGTGTACAAGGCGATCGGAGAGAACCTCGATGACGACCTGGTCCGTTGCTCATGTGCGGGCCCCTTGCTGAGACAAAACCTGCCCCAGATCGACGAGCTCATCCGCGAGGCCGACAAGGACGGCGATGGGCAGATAGGTGAGGGAGGAAGGAGCCAGGGGAAGCGGCTTACTGGTTCGACAGCCTACCCTGAGTTCTATGCTCTGATCAAAGTCTTGGAGGCTGAGGGTGGGGGCATGCGCGACCCCAACGCTAAACCAGCACCAGTGCGCCAGGTGCTCCGATACAAGCATGCAGAGCTCTCCTTACACGTGATGCAGGTCAGCAAGAAAGGCAGAAAGGATGAAAGCTCCGATTCAGACGGGACAACAGAATCCTCGAGTGGCTCGTACTAGAGGCTTTCAACGGATGCGAGTGCTCTTGCTTCCTTCCTGTACATATGTAGACACCAGCGGGTTGTAAATTAGATCAAGAAGTTGAATCCAACGATAGCGAAATCGATTATTCCATGAATTCACGTATTCTTGGTGGTGTAGGGCGATTCTCCTTTTCTCATCTTTCTTTCACCGTCCGATTCTTCTTCCACTGCTTGTTTTTGTCTTGTCTTGTCTTATTGGTTGTTTTGTCTTGTTGCTTGCCTGGTCTCGTCTCGTCTTATCTCGTCTCCTCGTTTCTTGACGTCTTGTCGCTTGTCTTGTTGTCCTCCCTTGTTGTCTCGTTTGTTGTTTCACCTGTGGTTCCTCCAGTGGCCCAGCATGTCCATTCTTTCCATATTTTCAGTGAGGGGTAGGGGTTCTAAAGTATCATTGTACGGTGGGGTACATACCCCTACCCATAAGCTAAATGTTTTTTACAGAAGTTGGTACGGGGTAATTTGTCCATATCGATCATCAGAGGTAGGGTAATAGGCCTAGTTGTAGAGGGTGGGGTCAGGGTACTAGCCGTAAGAAATCGAAGGAATGGTGACATGGAATGGAAGCTCGAACGTGCGATGGAGGTCGGAGAGAGAGGAGGCGAGCGAGCAAGGAGGAGTAGGGATAGTGGGTCATGTCTTCGAGTGAAGTGGTTACAGGAACAGGAACGACAGAGGGCAGGGACACGGAAGTCAGCCGGTTGTGAGAGGTAGCGCCGGATGGAGTTGTAGGAGGACAAGGCGTAGCAAACGACTGAAGGAAAGCTCCATGCTCTTGTCGCTGATGACGTCTTTGCAGAAGCATTGGGTAGTTATGGCTCCGGTGATGATAAGGACATTAATCTTATCCTCCTTTGTAAGCAATCCCCAACCCCACTTGTTGCTCACTTTGATCCGATTTGTATCAGGTGCTTTCTCTTGCGCTTGCCTTCGAGGCCACCCACTTGAATGCTCTCAATTTGCTGTCATCTTCCACATCAAGTCGATGTGCGCTCTCTGCACGCTCTTCGCGGGTATGCAGGAACAGCAAAACTTCGTTGCGCATGGATGTATCTAACAACTCGGAAGAGGTGTTTTTCGCTTCTCTCTCTTCCAAGTTTGACTGAATCGGATTGGGTACAGGCGAGGCTAAACAAACAGAAGGAAGCAGAGATGCTGCTGGAGAAGGCGAGGAAGGCAGCGGAGGAAGCAGAGAAAGCGCAGCAGAAGGCAGCTTCCTTGAAGGGGTCGGAGTTGGACAAGTTCGCAGAGTTTGCAAGGAAGTATTCGAAAGAGAAGCAGATCCAGGATCTGAAGAACCAGGCAGAGAGCAAGGCAGGAGAAGCTGCAAGGCTTGCGGCTGCTGCAGAAAAGGCTGAGCGAGAGCGAGGAACCACCACGTTGGCGCAGAAGTACGCCGAAAAGTCCCGAGAGGCGATCTTGGAAGCGGACGACGCAGAGCGAAGGATCGCAACCTCAGACTTTCAGCATCACGCAGAAGCTGCGCATGACTACGCGCTCACCTACGAAGCTGTGATCGAATCCCTGAAGGATGTTCGCCTCGTCCCCGTCACCGGATCACGAACTGACATCTCAAGGACCACTGACGCTCTCGACGACCTCAAGGTCCTCCTGCCTCCCCTCCTTGTTTCCGTCCTGAGCTATCAACCTGGTAGACGGCAGGAAAGCTGCAGGTGTGGAACCGGCTGGATGCTGAGCTGGGAGCGATGGGCTTTCGAGGAGGCAACAGCCTTCCTCAGCTGTTGAGCGCCAGCAAGACCAAGGAAGGGAGCGTGGACGTCTCCTTTGGAGTCAGCTCCTACAAGGCCCTCCAGGTAGCTCCTCCTCCTCCTCCTCCTCCTCCTCCTCCTCCTCCTCCTCCTCCTCCTCCTCCTCACGCTCACCCTGTCTGTCTGTCTGTCTGTCTGTCTGTCTGTCTGTCTGTCTGTCTGGCTGCCTGCCTCGTATTGACGAGTTGCACCCAAGGTCAAGAACTCATTCTCAGGAGCTCTGCTTATGTTCGGAGGGCTGGGCCTGATCTTCGCCGGGTACTTGGAGAAGGTCGGAGCTCTTTCCAGCTCCTCCGCACAGACGTTTGCGGACCTGGGATACGGTGCCCTCCTCCTCAACATCGCATCTGGTTTCTTCGGGCAGCAAGTCAACGACTGGCTGGTGCAGAGGTGGAGGAGGCGGTGTGAGCGCTGCTGCAGGGTTGACGGAGGAGCAGGTTCTGGCAGTTGAACTACGATGACTACAAGGAGAGGGCCCTGGTATCCGAGGTAAGACTGGAGGAGGAGGGGGGAAGGAGCAGGCAGGGAGGAAGACGGGGGGGGGGGCGGGGGAGGGAAGGAGGGGGGAAGAGTGGAGGATGTGAGGAGGAGGAAGGAGGAGGAGGAAGAGGAAGGAAGGAAGGAAGGAAGGGAAGGATGGGGAGGAGAAAGGGAGGAGGGGAGGGGGCAGGGGGATGACGCAAGTCTAAAGGCGGCTCATCTCATGGTGGCGTACATGTGTGGCCTCCCAGTGCAGGAGTACCGCAGGTGCTGAGAGGGAGGGCGGGGAGGAGCGACGTGACGAGAGGAGCAGGGAGTACATCGGATATCCTCTGCGGACAAGGCCGACAGGAAGAGCTCAGGTCTTCTCGTCAAGGAGAGGAGACCCCGAGGTGGGCAGGAGCTGTCAGGGGGAGACTGTCGGTATGACGAGAGGCTTCAGGTGGTTCCCAGGAACCGTCCGCTCGGCCTGCCCCCCTGGGCGTCCCTGGAGAGTGAGATCCCGAGCGATGTGAGTAGAGGAGGCAGCAGGTTGTCGGCTCACGTTGTCCGCGAGTAGGGGGACATGATGTTCGGAGGGCTGAACCCGGAGCCGATCAGGAACGGGTACACGAGCAAGGAGATCGATCATCTCAGGTGCTGAGGGCGATGGGAAGCCTCTGCCTCCTTTCTCTGCTGTGCTCCTCTCTTGATGCTTCTTGTTGACTCCTGCTCCTGCTCCTGCTCCTGCTCCTGCTCCTGCTTCTGCTCCTGCTCCTGCTCCTGCTCCTGCTCCTGCTCCTGATCCTGATCCTGATCCTGCTCTTCGTGTTCGTAACAATCTTGCTCTCCTTCTCTTCGCCGTTACCTCTGATCGCTGTCTCCGTCTCCTTCGCGTCATCTGACGTCTGCTCGCCTCCAGCTTGACGCTGCTTGCGGGGCCGGTGGCGGAGTACATCAAGTTCGGAGGAAGCATCAACGGAGCTCTCTGCTTCCAGCAGCTCGACACCTGCATGCTCATGAGCTACGACGTGATGCAGCCGGAGAAGATGCAGGGGCAGGTGAGGGAGCGAGGGAGGGAACGAGGGAGTCGGGGGGGAGGGGGCAGGAGGAGGGAGGAAACGAGGGGGGCAGGAGAAAATGGGGGTGAAGGAAGGATTGGAATGCTCCGTGGAGGAAGTGACGGCGGAGCAGGCGAGGTGGGCGATCATCAAGCTGATGAGTGTTCTGACGAAGAACAAGAACAAGTTGTCGGCAACGGTGAGTTTGGAAGTGAGAGGAGAGGATTGACGACGAGGCAAGAGAGGAGGGGGAGGACTGTGCTGACCATGTCGGCAGGTGGAGGCGCTTCGACGGGAAGAGTCTCTTGTGGATGTCATTGCGATCATGGAGAGTACACCCAATTGATTGAAGGCTGAACTATACTTTTTGTCTCATCTTAACTTGAGTTGTATTCACATAATAGCCTGTCGACCTCTCACTGCGCAGCCCCAGCCATGCAGCAGGCAGTGATGCTGGAGACGATGTACTCTGCTTGCTCCAGGTCCCCGCAGCTGCAGCGCAAAGGCGTCAGAAGGAGGAGAGCGATAGGAGGAGGAGGAGGAGGAGGGCGATAGGAGGAGGAGGAGGGCGACAGGAGGAGGTAGTGACAGCATGGAGACAGGAAAAAGGGAGCGAAAGGCAGAGCGATAGGAGAAGCGTGCAAGCAGAAGAGACCGTTAGGAAGAGGATGGAGAGGTGGGGAGGTGGGGAGGTGGTACTCAATGGCAGCCCGAAAGCCAAGTACCGGGCAGCAGGGCTGCTGAAGAATCTACTCAAGAACATCGAGCTGCATGACGTTCTCAGTCGCACAGAGAGCATCCGAGAGGCTGTCGCTCATGCGATGGCGCGAGGTGACGA